GGGATGGCCACGCCATAGTCCCTTCTTTTCCATGCTCCTCTTGGGATTTGGGGCACACGCGCACAAGCACCCACTGGGAGTTTCAAGCCCCCCTGGGTCGGAACTCCAGCCGCGGTCAGCCCTGTGGGAGCCCACCACCACGTGCGGTCACAAGGCCACCTGCCGACCCCTTAGGACCATTTCTAAGCAAGCTGTCAGGGGCAAAAGGATGGGACAGAGGGAGGGGAGGGCTGCGAGGGGAGAGAGAGTAATGGGTAGAGCCAGAAAAGGGCCAAAAGGAAGAAAGAAGGAACCAGAGAGAGATGGAAAGCAAAAGCAGCTGGAAGCCAGGAAGCAAGGGGCCAGGGCGGCAGGGAGGAGGGGTGGGGAGGCGGCCGCCGGGCACCGTACCAGCAGCTCCTCCTGCAGCTGCTGATTCACGGAGCACACATACAACTGAAGGGACTTCAGCGTCAGCACGCTAGAATGCACGGGGATCCTGAACACTTCGTTAAACACGAGCGGCGCTTGGAATTCCAGAGCCTTGGAGCAGTAGGTGTTGGGCGCGCTGGAGTCGAGCGGGGGCAAGTAGATGCGGATATGGCTGGAGAGAGAGGGCGACAAGAGCGGGCACGGCGGGCGCTTACTGACAGCACGCTCCCATCCCAGGCACGGACTGCGTGCGTGCGTGCCCACGTGCGCTCCCTCTCTGGGTGTCGTGGGAGAATTCCCAAGTCCTCTGGAAAAAGTGCCTGTGCCAACTCAGAGCAACGTGCCCTGCAGCTGAGTGGGACCCAAGGCTTTCTGTGTGCCCCTTGGCACTCTCTGGACAGCTCCTCTGCCATCTTCGGTCTTAGCACCCAAGGGCATCACCCCCAGCCTGGAACTAGGCACATGGGAGGGGCTCCATTGGGGTGAACCGGACCCCAGAGTGAAGCCTCAGCCACTCACACCAGGCTGCACCAGGGCCCACAGAGGAGGCGTCTGTCCTTGGACTTGAAGGACCACTACCCAGTGTGGGCCTCCGGGAACCCCCAAGGCCAGTTATCAGATGTCTCTTGCCCAGTCCCAACACCTATTCCCCTTCTCTGATCACGGCCTGAGGCCTCTGTAATGCCCATCGTGACCACCTGCCCCAGGACCGGGAGGGACACTGAGCGCGGCACTCCCTTAGCGCTCACAGCACGTGACTAGCACACGCAGCTCCCTTCACCTGATTAGACTCTTCGTAAGACGCACAATCTGTGTGCTTCAGACTCACGCTCCCTGGCGTTCTGTTATAAATTCAGACCCCAAACTGCCCCCCACCCCGACCGTGGGGGCTTACATTCTGCAGTCTGCCTTCACCGCGGGCCCGGCGAAGTTCCTCAGCTGGAGCACGTGCACGAGGAGGCACTCGCTGGCTCCGTCATGCCTGCAGGGAAACACCAGTTCACGGGCGGCCAGGCGGGGTGGCTCGGGCGCACCTGCGACACCGTCCACCACGCCCGGGCAGCCTCCTGTGACGTAGAGGATCGGCTCCCACGTGTCGAGCGTGCGGACACCGAGAACCCTTGGGCTGAGAAGGCCAGCATGAGCAGCAGGACGTGGCTGGGGCCCATGCTGACTACGACAGATAGAAATAGAGCTACTTTTCCTGCTGCTCCTTCCCAACACCTCGGTGTCCTCGCCTGAGACCAGCCCAAGTGGGACTAGGGGTATCGAGGAGCACCACCCAGGTCACGCGGGCCCCCACCTGTTTTGCTAGTGCATGGAGGTGGAAAACGCTAGTGCCCCCCGCCAAGAGCAGCCGGGAAGGAGTCGTCTCTACTCACAAAAGTCCCACATGGATCTGGGCCTCTTCAGTGCCACAGCCGTCCCCGCAGGCAGACTCTTCGGCATCTTCACTCCTGAACACAAGGGGAAAGCCCGGCCTTACTCCGAAGGGAACCGGCTCCTGCAGAGCTTGCAGACGCTCTGGTGTGTCTTACCGAGAAGGGCGCCGTGAGGTCGTGACACAAATAAACTCCCAGTCCCCGGGATGCATGGGGTGCCTCACTGGGTACCCACCTGCAAGCTGCTGATTTTTTAATACTGTTTTGTCGTCACTGTTGCGTGTTTAGAAAAGAACTCTGTATGCATTCAGGCAGTGTCCAGAAACGAGCCCTCAGCTCGTCTGCAATAAGGGGAAGGCCTTACAGACACTTGAGCACGACCGATGTACGAGCAAAATGAAGCCCGCAATTCTAAAGGGCATTTTACCATGGCAAGGGATTCTCGTAGCGAAGGAAAGGAGGGAGAGAGCGGAACTCCATCTCTAATAACGGTGCTTTCCCCCGGAGCAGGTCTCTCGTGCATTGGTCAGGCTTAAGGAGAAAGGAGCCACCCAAGGACTCTGAAGGCGCCAGGGAGGCCGGAGGAGATTTCCTTGTGGGGTTCTAAGGCCCAAAGTCCAAAGAAGCTAGAAAAATACTCTGCCCTCGCACACATACGCGAAGGTGCGCTAGATAAAGTCTCAGTGCCTCTCAGGAATATCTGCTAAATCTGCTTGGGGAGAAGGGAGTAATAGGGCCCACTCCGAACCTTTTGGTCTGAGGTTCAAATACTCCGCTGTCGCTCGCTAGCGAATAATCCGACAGGCACGCAGAGACACGGCGTGCTCTCCTCTCCAACCTGAAGCCTCAGCCACTCACACCAGGCTGCACCAGGGCCCACAGAGGAGGCGTCTGTCCTTGGACTTGAAGGACCACTACCCAGTGTGGGCCTCCGGGAACCCCCAAGGCCAGTTATCAGATGACTCTTGCCCAGTCCCAACACCTATTCCCCTTCTCTGATCACGGCCTGAGGCCTCTGTAATGCCCATCGTGACCACCTGCCCCAGGACCGGGAGGGAC